GCTAGAGCCTTCCCCGGAAGCGACGCGCATTCGAGCCCGACGAATGCGAATGATGGGTGAGGGTTGCAATCTCAGCAAGGTGAACGGGGGACGGCTCAAGCGGCTACTTCACCAGAAATGTCGATCCAAGGCATCGCAGACTCTCCGTCTTGCTACCATCAAAATGGGTACACTCACCTCTTGTTCACGAAAGTTAGCAGATCTTCTCAAGAGACGGCGAGTCGATGTAGCTTGCATACAGGAAACGAAGTGGAGCGGGCAAAGTTACGCGACATCGGAGATGGATAAAGCTCATCTACAACGGTCCACCTACACCAGAAACGGGGTTGGTATAGCTATCTCGAAGACTCTAAAGCGATATTTGACGTTGAGTGCATAACCGTCCGATGAGCATAAACATAAATACTGGGAAACAGGTCCTACGTAATCACCACCTATGCGCCACCAGTTGGATGTAAGGATGATGAAAAAGACGCGTCCTGGCAGGAGCATCTCAGATAATCGCCGGGGGCAGGCGGTCCGCAAACTCGGGCTTTTCTGCAGGCGGTCAGCAGAACTTTGGGGCGTGGCCAAACCTTCAGCGGGCGGCACTTCGTTTAGGGTCGCATATTCTGCCAGCGAGCAGCAATACAGCATTTTTTGCAGGCGCTCGGCAAATAATTTCTTTCAGCGAGCGCTGGCCAAACTTTCAGCAAGCGCTCGGACTCTTTTCAGCCATTTTCGGGCGTACGTCGAGCGCAGGTAAGACTCTGTGTGGCAGAGGTGCCACCGTTGGTTTAATTACTCAAGTTTGAGGTACTTTCTCCCAGCGGAAAGTGCCTGGGGGTTGCGCGGTCCTCCACAAAGAACCGTGCGGCCCCCAAAATTTTTGCATATTCTCGCGGAAAGTCCGCGAGAATGCGGCCACTGCGCCGCAGTTAATCCATAGAGAAACCGCGATTGTTCTTCAAGCATTCGTCTTTGATTTCGCCAACTTTCTTCCAAATTTCTGCAAGCGGGCGGCAAAAAATCAACGAACTATTTTTCCGGTGCGCGCTTGCTCAAAATTCGCATGGCCGCCTGCCCCCGACGGTTATCTGAGATGATGAACGCATCAGTTCAACTCCATTGGAAGAGACACTCCAGGAGAAGCCGGGAAATGTCACGGAGGTCAGGATGCGGAACATGTAGTGAAGAAGGTGTGCGCATTCTGGAATTCGCCTCAGCTCATGACCTGGTCTTGGCGAACACATAGATCAAGAAGGATGATCACCTCACAACATATGCGAGTGGCATCAGACGGACACAGACTTCTGGGCTATCCAACAGCGTGACCTCATAAAGGATTGCAAAGTCATTCCCAATGAGAGCTGCATACTTCAACATGAACCACTACTCGACATCAAAATAACAACGGATAGGCACATTAGACACAGGGACGGGACACGCATCAAATGGTGGAGATTGAAAACCAACAACGCGACGAAACAAGCACTGCTAACAACTCTACCAAGCTTGCAAGAGAACCCAGAGCGATTTTGAGCGAGCTTGAAAGATGGTCCACGAAGTGCTAAACCAGGAAAAAGAAAGATTAATTGGAAACGTCGTCTGGAATGAGAAAGTGCAATCATGAAGGAGAAGAGGGATGCGTACAAGCGATGGCATAAGATGAAAGCGGAGGACGATCGCCAGACATACCAACAAGCTAAATGCGATGCGAAGGCTTTCGTAAAGAAAGCAAAATAGATGTACTTGAAAGAGCTTTACGATTATCTAGAGTCTCGCGAGGAGGAACGTGAGATACCGGATAGCGAGAAGAAGAGCAGAATCCACGAAAGTTATGTACCACTTCCTCTATATCAAAGGCAAATTGGTGGAGAACTTACTTCGAAGAACTGGCTAAAGCTGGTTTAGACGCCACACCAAGCGAGTTCTGGAAAATATCTGGACAATCCGGAGCCGAGCCGTGGCTAACGAGTCTACTCAATCAAGTCATAAGGAGCAAGAGTATGCCTTGCGACTGGTACGACGATCCCGACAAGGAAGAACAAAGGAGACATAGCAGACTGCGCAACCTACCGACCAATTCAACTGATGAGCCGCACTTCAAAAATCTTGGAGCGAACAATCGAAACGCATCTTCAAGATACCATAGAGCTAGTCACCGAATCAGTGCGAATTCGTAAAAGGTTTAGATACAAGTGATGCAATCCACTCCGCTCGGATAGTGATGGAGAAATATAGAGAGAAGCAGAAGTAATTGCATGCAGCTTTCTTGGACCTGGAGAAAGCCTTCGATAAGGTGCATTATGAAGTCTTATCGGCGAGCCTTACGGAAACACAGGGTGCCAGAGGAATGCGTTCTGTGGGTAAAGTTCACCTACCACAAACTTTAAGCCACGTGCAAATAGCTGCAGGGCAGTGAAAAGAATTCCAAATAAGGTTGGAGTAACCAAGGTTCAGTTCTCGAACGCCGAGGTGGAACCGCTCAGATGTGAACTTCCTTGGACAGAGTTCTCTATGCAGATGTGATCTTCAAGCAAGTACCAGAGAGGAGTCACGAGGTTCAAAACTGGAAAAACAGCCCAGAATTGTATGGCTTGAAACTCAACACCAGGAAGACAGAATATATGGAAATGAGGAAACAAACTCCTGGTACCATAAGCATCAATGTTGATTGAAGAAGACAACGTCATACAAGTGCCTAGGCAGTCATATCTCAGCGGAGGGAGGCTTACAAGAGAAGGTTGCAGGGAGGATCAACTTAGCATGGATGAAATGGCTTAAGAGTTCTGTGCGACAGAAGAATGCCGGTGCATCTTAAAGGCAGCGTCAAGACAAATCTGGGTTCTTGGGGTTTTTGATCCTAACCAGCGCACTGCCCAAGCGGCAGGGCAAATAGTTTAACGGCTGAGAAATCCGTCCCCAAAAATCCCGCGCATGCGCCGTGAACGTAACCCGAAAACGACTTCGCTCACTTTAACACCATCGCGCTGGGACCCATCCTAATTGTTACGGTCATGGTGCAGACGCCGAGGGTTTGGGGACGGATTTCTCATCCGTGAATGAATCTACTGCCGTTCAAGCAGTGTCTTAGTTAGGCCCCCTCATAGGTTTCTAAACGAAGACCTCACGTGCCCAGATTTGCCTGGACACTGCTTTCAAGTCCCAACTGTACCAAACCGTTATCCGCCCAGCAGCAATGTATGGCGGTGACTCCTAGCCGTGTACGCGGGATGAAGAGCGGATGAAAGTCACATTACAATGTTAGCCCTGGCTGTGGAGGTACCAGGCAAAAGATCCAGATGGAGGTAGACTGGACAGAATCAAAGCCGACGATCTGCGAGAACTTGGAATTGAAGACCTTGCCTCAGATAGCATGACATGGAGACATCTGCCAGAAAAGCAGACCATGCGTAAGGGAGACACTGCGAGGAAGAAAAATGGATCGCCAACAAGGACTCTACTCGGACTTTGGTGGGACCCTCCAAATACACTGTAGCCCAAAACCCACCTGCCAGTCCATCAGCTAACTCAGACAATCGCTGGGGGCAGGCGGGCACCGGAAAAATAGATTGCTGATTTCTCGCACCCCGCTCGCGGATTTTTTGCAAAGCAATCAGGACTTTTCGGAAGACCGCTTGCTGAGTCAGCGGATTTTTGAGAGACCGCCTGTTGAATTTTTTTCGCTCTTATCTTTTGCAGATATATTGCTGAATCTCTGAGGAATCGAGAACTCAGCAAGCGGTCTTCCGAAAAGTCCTGATTGCTTTCCAAAAAAACCGCGAGCGGGGTGCGAGAGATCAGCAATCTATTTTTCCGGTGCCCGCCTGCCCCCGGCGATTGTCTGAGTAAGTCCTGAAAAATACGCTACAACTTTACCAGTCCCGCCCACTCAACGGGAATGGACGGGGGGGGGGGGGTGGAGGCTGGGTCGTTTAGTGGCAATAGCACATTGTAGAACACAGTCAAATAACATACTTCAAGGAAAGCACTAGTGTATTTTGCTTGCTGCCAGTTACCAAGACTTTTGCTGTTTGAATGCGTTTTTGGACGCTTTTCTAACAAGGAAACGATACTCGGTGTCCGTGGCCTTTTGAGATGAGTTGTATACCATTACACTCGTCTTGGAACGCTGATGCCGAATCTGACTTCCGTTTCTGCTAATCGCTTAAAAAATGTTACAATGGATTATGCGGAGTTTGGCTGCCCATTGAAATACGGTCGGAGGCCAACGCTACGTGTGCGGTATGGTCTAGTGGTTAGTGCGATAGCCTCATGAGTTGATGTAGGTGTAGGTTCGAATCCCTTTGTGATTTTCAATTTTGCATTGTCTCAATTAACCTTCTTTCGCATCCTCGAGTTAACTGAACGCCCTTAATCTTCAAAAGATTTGAAAATTGGAAAAAATGATCACTATTTGCGCTAAAAGGTATCCATTAATTCGACTAAATTTTCTCGAACGAACTTAACTGAAGCAATGCAAAAGTAAAAACACAAAATGATTTGAACCTACACCTGCATCAACTTATGAGGCTTCGCACTAACCACTAGACAAGAACCTGGCGGCGGTAGAGGCCGTTCCGGACCATACCCTTGGGTGGCCAAACTTGGCTCGAAATTCCTTCATGACTTCTTCCAGAGAAACGATTAGCAGAAACGGAAGTCAGATTCGGAATCAGCGTTCGAAGACGGGTGTAATGGTATACATCTCGTCCCAAAAGGCCACGGACATTGAGTATCGTTCCCTTGTAAGAAATTTCATCAAAATGATAAACAAAAAGTATCATATTTGTTTACTGATGCCGGATGCTGCAAAACAAAAAAGCTGATTCAGTCAGTTCTGTTTTTGCACATCTCAATAATAAATCAACAAGGTAAAGACTTCTTTGAACATCATGTTCACGAGCGATAGATACTCAAGCCAATGAGCACCATGTAAGTGATCGACTTCTATCTTACCCATATCGAACTAGCAAATGTAGACCTGGCTTATAGTAGTGATTGTCAGAATCGTTTAGGGCAATTTGGGTTACCGCAGATTTCGGCTGGTCTTACTCTAGGATTTGTATCAGCATGCGTCGCAAGTGTGATTGAAAGTCTAGGAGATTACCAGACATGTGCGAGAGTAAGTTGGTGATTGGTTCTATCGTCTCCTATTGTGCTTCATGTAACAGGTATCCCATCAGCGACTTCCTCCCTCTTCCTCAATAAATCGAGCAGTCATTTTTGAAGGTACTATTTGACTTTCAATTTTACGAGATCAAAGTCAATTTTACGAGAACAATGATTCGCAGGGATCGGCGCTGTAATAGCCGGTTCGCTTGGACTCGCAGCCGGCGTCACCATTTACAGCGAAAATATCGCATTAATGCATATAACCAGAGTGAGTTGTATTAGGGCTTTGTTGAGAAAATAATGAAAGATAAATTAGAAAAGTTATACTTTGCGAGCTTTGTAAAATGAAGTCCACAAGCCCAACCTTCTCTCGGGATCAACTTGTTGCCTTTAGAAAACATGCTTTATTTTTTAGCTGTTGCCGTTCAAGCACTGGCGAAAGCAATACAGCGATCGTATTCATAAACATGTCTTAGGTAAAAAAAATACCTTGAGAGCACATACCAGGTAAAGCGAAGGTATGTGCATTTTCAAGATACAACGTATTGCGGTATAAATCAATCCAAAATGCCACCAACCTACGTACGTGAAGGTGAAATATACTCTGAGGTAATGCAAATGCAGTACTGCAAGGTACAGTTCCAAAATAGGAGTTAACTCCTGTATGAAGCAAGGAAAAATCTACCTGGATTACCTTGCGCCAGTGCATTTTCACTGCTTCAAGGTATATTACAGACATTCAAGGTATGTTCGTGAATGAGGGTTTATGGCTTTTGAGGTGACTTTTTCCTTAAGGTGTGTTTTACTTTAAGGCTCGTTTGCACGTACATCTACGCGGGAATAGGAAGGGATCTGAGGGGGAACGCGTCATATCTCGCTACTCCAGTTATCTGAATCATTCTTTTTCTATCTACCTTGCAAGGGTTCTTATACCCTAAAATTTGAATATAATAAATGGTAGAACACTGCCATGCAAATTGAGTTTTTCGTTGTTTGTCAGGGAATCACCTCACATTTTCAAAGTCATTTTTCTTTGTTTGAACTTGATGAAAGCGCTGTAAATGTAACAAAGATGTACTACGTTGCTGCTAATGTTTACAGTAAAAGTAGTGAAAATTTAGAATTTCAGATTTTCTAAGGGTCGCGAACTGAGGTTCATTGAAGAACTCGCACCCGCACAATCCATTTATTTCATCGAAAACATCCCAAGCACTACCATATAGATCCTCAGCACAACATTACAAATGTTATCATCGACTTCCTGGAAAGGTAGACAACTTTGAAAACAAGAGGTATCTCCCCCTTAGGGATTCCAGGGGATCACACGAAGCAGTGAAATTTTTTGCTTGTATGGCTCTTCCATCCATTATACTCAGTTATCAGGGTATAAGAACCTCTACAAGACAGACAAAAAAAAGAAGAAGATAAAAGGTACAGATAACTAGAGTAGCGAAATATCACGCGTCCCCTTCCAGATCCCCTCTCCTCCCCAGCGGCCGCGCATACGGTGCCTTATTGAACATACCTTATGCGTCTTGAATAATTGCGCTCTTGAATTAGGTTTTTACGTCAAAGCTTATCAATGAATACGGCCAAAAATAGCTACGCTAGTAATTCCCCAAGTACAAGTTTTTTTGTTGCTTTAGTCTAAGAATCCCGTGCATATGCAGTGCGTTTCGTAACTGTAAGACACCCGTAGAAATTGAGATTTCCGGATTAACAGAAGAGAGAATTCTTGCCAATATTTTTATGATCTACACATGATATCGAATAAAATAGCATCTCAATCAATATCTCAAATTCGCTTGCTATCTTACACCTTGAAGCGTTTGTAATTCTCCAATGCTTCGCAACTCAAAGGCATCTTTGAGCAAGATATTTTTTAAAACAAGAAAAAACAGTACACGTTTCAATAATTAACCGAGCCACCGGAACCTTCTATTAGGTTGTCGGATAATTTCTGTTACACTTTTTTCTAAAAATTCTAGGAAATTACAGAATTACAGAAATTACATTACACTTTCTGATAATCCCAAATTTTCAACACGCTTAGAACACAGCAGGGTCTACCCACCAGCATGATTGACGCCGCAAGTGCACTAATGACCAACAAGTTTACGGCAGTTTCGTAAAAGTAGTCAAATTTTTTCAGTTTTTGTCCGATCTTTTTCTCTGCACCTACTTGCGCTTTTCCCCTTCCAGAGTTTTTTGAGAACGTAATTTGGCATTGCCTCTTACACGGAGGCATTCCGGTGCCTCTAGCGTTTCAAAAACGAGGGGTGGAAAAAATATCAAAAAAATTCAAAAAATTTCCTAAATTCTTCTTTTTATGTGCATCGTATAGAAACCAAAACAGTAAAGATAAAGATGATTTCTGAAATTTTTTGGAGACGTTTTCTTCGTGAAAATTCCGATGATTGCAAAAATGGCGCACACTGGGATTTGAACCGCTCAGAAAAACGTGTGCAGACATGTCTGCGTTATCCCCCTATGCGTTATCCCCCTATAATAGCTAAACGCTACAGACTATGCCTACCTAAATACCACATTGTCCGGTCTATCGCTCATTACCTGAAAGAATGCCAGCTCATTTACGAAAATGGGGAGAAACGGATTCTCAGCCACAAAGTGGATGTTTTGCGCACGGATCGCGGATGCGACGGTACCCTTGTATAAGTCTTTTGACCCTGCCCATAAGCCGTGAACATGAAATCTTTCCAAAGCTTCCGAGAATTTTAATAATAAAAATAAAAAGTGTAACAGAAATTATCCGACAACTTAATATTTATCAATCCTATTAAACATGCTTCTAACAAATTTACAGAACCCTGGGTCAGTGTGGTCCCATGTGTTCTTGAAGGATTTGTTCATATGCTTCCTCAAACTGCTTATCTTTGCATGAAAACGTCAAGGCAGTATGCTTCGGTGATCCTCTATAAGGCTTGAGACATGATGGTATGTGGCCATCGTAAAAGCTGCACGCGGTGCTAGCGAAAAATGGCAATGTTTAATCTGCAAGCAGGCGCATATGTGCCGTAAGCAGGGCCCGGCATGAGTTCGTTTCTAGGCTTCTTGAAAACGAATTCCCCTTCACCTTCGCGAAATTTTACGAATTCCCCTCTGACTCTTAGCCCAAAACGTAAAAAAAAACCTTAAAAACAAAACGTCGGGTGGCGGACTTTATGAACTATAGCCCGCGCTTAGGCAGGCGTGTGTCAATAAGGTACGCACCGTTAGCCCCGCCTATCGCAAGAGGACGAGTTCTCTGCAGTACAGCTCTAGCACTGGTTCATGGCCATGCTTCCTATTCAAGTGAAAGCAACTTCTGATAGTGAGCTATAAGCTTGTTACAAGCTGGGGTTAAGCTTATAGCTTAACCCCAGTCAATGAACAGCTGATGTGTTGATTGTGAATTTCAAGAGATTTGCTGTTCTACCTATAAATGACCAAGTGACGGGTGCGTGGCATTAGGTACCCAGCCATTAGTCTTACAACTAAGCCACGCCCCTTGGTTGCTCCAATAGCAGGTACCTAACTACACCGAATCCCAGCTGCTGAAGCAGCTTACCTAGCTTGTGAAAGCGCTGGCAATTGCGACCCATAGAAAAGAGAGAGTTTGAGAAAATCAAAAGAAAAAAGCACGAATGAAAGCGCAAGTTTGTATGCAACGTTTTTCTTTTGCTTCTTTTTTTTGAATTCAAGTCTAGAATCACAGATGTTCGGCGATGAAAGTTAAAAACAGGGTAAAGCTTTCATGAGCAATTCACATAGGCAAGAAGAAATTGTAATAATCGATAACTGATCTAATCGATAATGTCGGGAGGATTTTCAAAAAAAGAACTTTGTAGAATTCCAATGAAGTAAAATTTTATGATTTTTTTGAAGCAAAGCGCACCTTCGGAGATGTTCCTGGCAAATAAGTTGAAGAAATATTTTTTTCACAGAGGTGTGAAGTTATAGGCGCGTTATAATTGCCACAGTGAACTACATTATCCTCGATTATTAAGGGTATTACTTAGGTCATTTCTGAGGCCAGCAGATTTACGGAACATTATGATAAGCGCATTCATTTTTTTTATTTCAAAAGATTTCGCATTCCATACGAAAATTTCCTTGAAGTACTTATTTCATCATGTATGTGTACTCTGTAGTGCCTTTTTGGAGGATCACAAATTGTTTCATTGGTGGTTGGTCGACTAAAGCTACGATTTTTGGTAGCTCACTAAAAAGCGAAAGATATTGTAGAAATTGCTCCCGGTAGAGTTTGATGCTTTTTCCTGTTTCATTCTATCAGCATACACTCCATCAAAATTGGCTTCGAAATCGCTCTGTGATCAGAGGTGCGATAAGTTGGAGTCGGGCCCCCCAAAAGTGAAAGTGGTTCCAGCTACCACTGGCCAATCAAAAGTGAAGGTGGTAGTGCCGGACACTCACGGGAAGGAAGCACAGCTCGACTTCTCTCTTCGCAAAAAAATTTCTTTCTCAAAAGTTCCATTATTTTCTTTATAATCGTGTTTTATCAAGTAAATTTTGTTATAACGTACTGCGAAGAAAATAGGTCGATCCAGGGAATAAGCGTCGAGAACCAGAATTTTGAATAATAAAATAACGAAAAATCATGCAAAATTTCCACTGTTATAAATCTGATGTTTGAAGATATCAGCAATTGCGACTTCACAGGTTATGAAGAGTAGATGGTGCTCTATCAGATAGTGGAAAAAATCGAGTGATTTGAGAGATAGTCACCGAAAACCAGAATTCTAAGAAAATTAACGTCAATTTAGCGTGTTTAATGACAGCTGACAATTAAACTCATATAAATCTTGAATGTGAAAATGTGTGATGTTGCGACTTCATAGTTTTTGTAGAGTAAGGTTTGCCTTATCAGAATATATCTTGGTCGCACCAATCCATTCAAACAGCGCCGAGATCCTGGATCTTGAAAAAGCAGGTAAAAAAGCGCTTTTTGAACTTCAGTAGCTCATAACTTCTTCAGAATTGCATGAATCATGATGCGACTTCATAGGTTGGATTCTCCCCTTCAAGGGCTTTCAGAGGATGTATAATACGTGGGGGTCTCGCGCCTCTCACGGCATATGCCCGGGGGTAGAGACTTTTCATCACAAGGCCTCCACTGGCGGCCTCCAGCCAATGCATTACATGGGCGAGGTGGAGACTTTGGTATGGAAAGTCTCCACCCCGAGTTAGAGCCGCAAAAATCATCAACCCCCCCCCGCACATTACACACCATCTGAAAGCTCTTGAAGA